GTTTGGACAAAACAAATTTTGCTCGGTATACAACTTTTGTTCAGTATACGACTTAATTCAATTATATGCGCCATCTATGAACAAGTAGTACTATCGGTGTACTAGACCAGACTATTTTCCGGTGCCATGGTTTATAACTTTGTTAAATTTCTTCTGATTTTAATTTGTAAGTAAAATTTTATTATTTTTATTAATCATGAATTGCAAAAAGACAAATGAAAAGCAACAGAAAACTAAAAAAATGACTAGAATCACAATGGAATTGAAAAAAGAGATTGTTGAGAAATGTGAAGGTGGCATGCATGTCCGAGAATGACGATATCGACAATCGTGAAGAATAAAGACATTATTAAATCGACTAATGTTGCGAAAGGGGTTAAATCAATTTCTAAACAGAGATCGAAGACATTAGATCATGTTGAGAAATTGCTTTTGCTTTGGATAACTGAAAAACAGTGTGCTGAAGACAGTGTATCAGAAGCAATTATTTGTGAGAAAGCTAAAAAGATACATGCTGATCTCATAAAAAATCAAGCAGGAATTAGCAGGAAAGCGAGGTGTTTAAAGCCAGCCATTTTTTTTTTACATGAGAATGGATTAATCATTTTTACATTACTTCTTATGGGAAAGGTTGGTTCGGTATACGTCCTATTTGGTATAAGTCCAAACATCAGGAACGGATTAAGGTCGTATACTGAGGTTCCACTGTAATTCCTTCCAACATCATACATTTATAACAAATTAGCATTGGGAACACTGGCAGAAGTTCTCTTGTTTTAGCATCTTGTCATATCTGTCACAGCTTTTTGGGTATCTTTTGCTGAATAATAATAATGATTTTTCATTGATGTCTTCATTTTCAGAAATAGGGAGAATTTTTCAAAGTTATATCAGAACTGTATTTGGGGATTAGAAAACAGGAATATGCATGAGTTTTTGGGTCAGAAATCATAATAATTGAAGAATAAGTGAGAAAAACTGTTATGATGGCAAATCTGATCTTTGCAGACACAATGAGATATGTCTTTGATCTAAGAGAAAATTCTATTATTGCAAAAATCAATACAATATTCTTTCTAAGGAAAAACAGACTGTATTAATCTAGTGCTATTTTTATTAGAACAAATTTATAGAACAAGGTAATGTCTTAATTTCTCACTTTATAAGAATTTAAGACAAATCTCATTAACCTTAGTTTTTATTAATTGTCAATTTAAATGAATCGTCATTATAATTTAAAAATTAATAATTAAATTGTGACCATGAAAAGTAATATAAAAAATTTTGATAAAGTTTATAATATTTATAATATATATTCTTGAAACTTCAAATTAATTTAATTTAAATAAATTATATAAATCATCATGAGAATTTTCTTTCTATTTGTGACAATATTCTAGTAATGCTCTTTTATGATTCATTTGTTTGAATTTTTATCAGAAAAAGGTTTATTTGGCTTTGACTATTCATATTAAGAAAAATGCCAAAACAGTATGTTGAAAGGTTCTGAAATACAATGAAGTGTTTTTGGAAAAATCCATGTAATATTCATTCAAAGAAATTGATACTATTCCACTATTCCAAATATTTCATAAGAAAATTAAAATTTTCCAAAAAACTGTTTTAGTGTAGAGTCCAAAATCTTTTAAATTGTTATTCATTTATTCAAAATTTTCATACCATTCTTTGTCTGTTAGGAATTTTTTCTAACTGCAATATTAATTTGGATTTAATGTTAAATGTTTGTTAAATGATTCTGGATTACTCAGAATACTTAAGAGAAATTAACTACAGAGAAATTATTTTTATCTATAATCTTAAGGTATTGTATTTTAAATATGTACTATATAACATTTATGTTCAGTCATATAATAATCAATATATATATAAATGTTTTTTTAATGGTCTTTAAATGATAGCTTTTTCTCTCAATATTTTTAACACTTATAATTCCAAATACACTCATTGTCATAAGAATTAGTGCACCAAGAAGGAGTTGTCATATTGTTGCAAAACTTGGCATGCAGATAAGTCTCAAGTAGATATGGAAATGATTAGAGTTATAGCATGATGGCTCATTGTGTAATGCCAAAAGAAGGCATTAAAGTGCATCCCCCTTGGACTATAAAAAAAGTATGCAAAGACATCCTGTCTGCAGTTTACCTGTTGAAGAGGGAGATGCCTTTACGTCACAATTGAAGACCATTTGAACAAAATTGAATAAATTTAAAATGAAGATTGCCTTGTGTTGTGTGTCTGAACTATATGGTGTTCAAAAACGCCAACCATTTGAACAATTAACCAAGTTTGAGAGGGGGAAGAATCATTGGGTTGAGAGAAACCAGATGGTCATCTTGTTGAATAGCTCATGCTTTCTAGGTCATTCTGACTATAATATGAGGAAGTGTTGGACCAGTGGACAAGAGAGAACCTGCACATACAGCACCCTGGCTCAGGATACCCTTGGCAGACCACTAGCCAAAAGGACCGCCTGGTCCTCCGACAAGCATGCACACAGCTGACTATTATTGTCTGCCATCCAGACACAAGTGGTGCCATCATTACAGGCCCATGTGTCTTTCTATACCATTTTGAAGTGACTGGATGAGGAACATTTAGTATCATGGCAGCCATTACATGTGCTGCTATTGACAGCCACCAGTCACCTCTGAAGTGGTGTCACTTCCGATGAAATTAGACTGTAATGGAATGGAACTGGGTCATCTACAGCAATGAATCCAGATTCAGTTTAGGCACTGATGATGGCCATGTTTGTGTCTGGAGGACCAATGGTGAATGCCTCAATCCTGCTATTCCAAGCAGGATTGAGGTGATTGGCTAACCCCACAACCAGTGTGGTGTTCTGGAGTGCCATCACATACTACAGCTGGTCATCTCTAGTAGTGATCCAAGGGACCATGATAGCTCACTGGTATATTAGTGACATCCCGCAGCCACACATGTTGCCTCTCATGGCAGGGCTTCCAAGAGCCATTTTCCAACAGGATAATGCTTGACCACACACAGTAAGGGTGTCACAGGACTGCTTCTGCCAAATTGCCACACTTTCCTGATTTGTCACCAATTGAACATGTCTGGGATCACCTGGGATGCCAAGTTGGACAGCCTAGGAATTTGGCTGAACTAGAGGACTGTTTGCAGCAATTGTGAACTGAGATGCCACAGAACACCATACGGCACCTGTATGCCTCCATGCCTGCTCATATCACATCATGTATTCACACTAGAGGTAGCCCAATAGGGTACTCCTTTCATTTGTAGTTTTTCCTGCAATAAACCTTTTATTTTCATTTTGTAATCACTTATTTATATCACTATTATGCTCACACATGTACAATATCATTCGATTCTGACAACTCCTCCTTGGTGGGCAAATTTTTATGGCAATGAGTGTATATACAGTAGAGCACCGATTATCCGACTCAATTGGGGACTCAGGTTGGTCGGATAACTGAAAAAATCAGATAACCGAAAAGAATGAAAAAAATACATTATTAGTATAGTATATTAGTATATCCCATGTAATTAGTATATTAGTATATCGCTATTAACCAACTTCGCGTTGAATTTTCATCGATGTTAAGCCTAACAAATTTTTTTTTAAATAATAATCTTTGCTATTGTATCATTAAAAATTATTTTTAAATTATTTTATTGCTCACAAAACAAACAACCACTCATAATTAGAAAATTAAGCCTCGTTTAAATACTGGCCTCCCTTCAATGGTTGAGTCGGTGTTGTCGTCTAAAACATGCACAAATTTAATGAAAATAATATTAAAGTAGCCAAGACATAGCCAAATATTGTAGTGCCACATCAGTAGTGGACATTTGAAATTTGCCGACTAGAATGGTCGGTTAACCGATGTGACGGTTAATCGGGGTTGGATAATTGATGCTCTACTGTACTTAAATCAGAAATTTTTTATAACTTATAAACTGCATTTTTATTTTGAGGCATATTCAGAAAGTTCAGCTTTGAAAAAGTTTAAAGAATTTAAATAGTTTTATCACATTTTACATATATTACTTTCTTGGAAAAATGATTTGAGATGTGTAGGATGTGAACTTGAATCAACTTGTGCTTTACACTTACTATTACAAGGCAAAATTTTTGTATACTCATTGTAAGATTAGCTATCTGCAATGTTAGCATTTCTACACTACATTTCAGGTCATTATCATCATAAAAATGCTTGCCAATCAGGAACTTCTTCATGACTAAGAAAATATAAAAGTAAAAGGCATGAAATATTAAGAACCAGCAATTTTTTTGCGTTATGAAAATGTCAGGCCACAAACTGCTGCTCACTCTCAAATCCTCATCACTTTATTTGGATAGAAACAGACTACCTCCCATACACCCCTGACTTAACACCAAATGACTTTAGTCTCCTCTTACTTTTGAAGTAGTACCTAGTTGCCCAGCATTTTGACAACAATGGTAACCTGAAAGAAGCTGTGAAGAAGTGGCTAATATAGCAGGCAGCCATATTCTATGAAGAGTATGTATAAAAAAATTCTCTCACTGCAAATAGTGCCTCAATAATGGAGGTGACTATATGGAATAGAAGTAGTATGTGTTAAAAAATAAAATTTTTCAATTGTTTTTTAAAACTAAACTATATATACTTTCTGAATATGTGTCCTAAAAGTTTAGATAAAAACTATTGTAATTTATAAGCTGCACATTTCAGTATTGCACTTGATCTGATACTTGAAGAAAACATCTTTTCTTCTGTGGTAACATAAATTGTGAAAATTTTTCAATTTCCAGCTTTAGAAAATTATTTTTAGTAAGTGCAGTTAAAAAGTTTAAAGTTACAGTGCAAATTTCCTAATTATTTTAACCATTTGCTTAATAATTGTATGAGTTTCTCAATTATATTAATTTTTCTTTGTTAATAATTCTTAGGGAATAAAATAAACTATTAATAGGATCTATCAAATTAATTATAATTTATGTTTTGTCATTTCAGATTTGAAGACAGTGGAACAGAAATTAAATAATCGTTTGTATCATAAATTAGCAGATTTTATTGGTGATATGACAAAAATATTTGATAATTGCCGCTATTATAATCCACGGAATTCCTCATTTTATCAGTGTGCTGAAGTTTTAGAATCTTTCTTTGTACAAAAAATCAAATGTTTCAGACAAAGTATCACATGATGATTGGTAAAAAAAAATTTTCCTGCATTTAATAAAATCATCTGGTCAAATTCTTCCAGATATACATTTATATATCGTGCATAGTGCAAATTTATAGGCGTCACGGTACCAGCTTTTAACCGTCAGACATCTGATTTAGCCTGTGTTTTGATTCTATGCAGTAAACAATGAAATGTGCAAGGTGTCAAAGGTAATGTTGACTGATCCATTCCACATCAGAGAGAGAGAGAGAGTGAAAACGCTGTGATTGTGAAAAGAGGCAGTTATGTACATGGGATTTGCAATAGTGTTGACAACTTTTTAACTTCATTTGAACTTTGTTGTGTAAATATTGGTTAACTCCAAATCACATCAAACTCAAAAATATGGGAGAAAGGATGCAAAATTTCAAGGCACAATAAGTCGCTTCAAGTTAAGAGCGATTCTCAAAAAATGGTAGATTACCGAATAAAAAATTCTATTTCGGTTACATTGCACTTTTATGTGAATTACTGTAGAGACATATATTGTGAATATCAAAAAGATTAAAAATCAGATGAAGAAATTGTATTTCATGTCCATGCTAATTAACTCTGCAAACAAGACCAGTGTGTTTTGATATATTTGTCTGCAAATTGGCACCATCAGAAACCATTATCCTTGTAATGTAATCCCCTAAAGTAATAACGAAACAAAGATAACATGGTAGTTTTGTAAGCAATTCTGTGCTGTACTATATACAAAAAGACATGACTTTCTGTCGTTCTCATGGGATGGATTATTTTTTTACAATGCAGACAATGGAGAGGAAACTAAAAGCACCAATCCCATCTTCAATAAGCACATTGTAATTGTCTGTTTCATGAGTTTTACATCTCACATTTATAGATCCATCAGAGTGCTTCATTCTGTTTTCATGGCTGTATTTATTTAGTAAGACATTGATGATACTATCATTAGCAAATCTTCATAAAAACAATCTTCATATTGTTCAAACTGTCCTTGCAGTTGTACAAACATTTATGTCATGATGCTTTTCTGTATCGGTGAACAGAAAAATCATATTCTGTTCCGTAGACAGTAACATTTCTTGATATTGTGTAAATGTCATTTGTATCTTTAATAAATTATCTACAGAGTGAGTTTGAGTCTCTTCAGGGTACGTTTACTTGCCTATCATTGATAACGGAAAATTGTTCAAAGTATCATGTAAAGGACTCAAATCGTTTAATATTAAAACATTCTTTAAACATATCGACTAGGGTTTCTTATTGTAAAAATATTAGTTCGTTGGAAAACTAAGCATTTTATAATGATAATTAAATCAATTTCTATTTTATACTGTTTTTCTCTCTCCAGTAATTGAACTCCAAATTCATGTTTTAAAATTCTTTTGTTTCTTACTTTTTGAAGCTTTACTTCTTCTGCATAAAATAATATCTTTCCTTTTTTAACAAAAGTGTAACATAACATAAAAATTAAAGCAGAATAACATATTTTAAACACATTTCAAAAAGAGATACGTTAAAGAAGGGATATTAAATGTAAACCTTTTACACGAAATTAGGACGGGCACTCACAATTATTTTGATCTGTTCATAACCTTCCATCAAGAATAAAAAGAAATTAGGGAAAAGAAAAAGCAAGAAGCATGTGAACACTTGAAATATTTAGAAAGCAAAATACGATCAAAATAATGCAATGACATGATCGGGATATCCACGTCTAGTCATTTGGTGAGAGCCAGTAAATGGAAGATCGTACCAATTTTTAAAAAAATTTATGATACTTGAAATTAATAAAGTATATTTAAAGTCAATAAACTGTTACTTATGTTGCACGTTTAATGTGGCGATAAACTACTTGAACAGAGAGCAACCTCGTATACAATTGTCTTTATCTAAATTGCTTTCCCCTAGTTATTGGCAATAATGAACCGAGTACTTATAATGAAAGTAAAATTTTATTGAATTTCTTATTTAATTATCGGTACAGCAAAACTAAAACATGTAACACTTCATTACGAATTTTTTCGTAACATTAATTTAATTATAAATATTAATGCTAAGTTTTATATACGGTGGAAAAAACTTCATATTCGCGGAATGATTGACATTTAGACCACTCTCAATGACTCATCCAGGTTGGAGAATATGGATGCTATTCTAGTCAGATTTGGGGGGCGCGTCCCCCTATCCTTTTTCGGAAATGTTAATTATCTTAGAATTTCTTAAATGTTATCAAATCAAAGTCATGCGATATGAGTTGTTATATTTAAGTAACAAAACCGATTGATTTGGATCAAGAGAATGCTGCATCACCATAAGCACTCCCCTCTGCATACGCCCGACCACGCTCGTATATTGTTTCATAGTTTCTCCAGTTACGTTTATATCGCACGCACTCGTGTATTTGATATCGGTGTGGATTCTAAACGAAGTTCGCGCAGTTTTAATCAATGCTTTTTTAATTCTTACAAATTAACAGTCGACTAAACAAAGACTCCAATGCAAATATCAAAAAAGGCCAAAGAAAGGTAAGATTTTGTTTTTTTTCATTACAGATTGTATGAACTTAATGTCTATTTTATTTTCATAGTTTTAAATCGCAGACACATTTCATGTAATCATTTCCAACATGCAAAAATTATTATTATTTACAGTTTTCCACTTTCGACAATAACTTAAATAATTAAAAGATATTAATTGCCATTAATATCTTTTAATTATTTAAGTTTATTTTCATAAAATAATAATGATAAGATATTAATTGCCATTGTCGAAAATGGAAAACAACTCTAAATAATAATAATCTTTGCATGTTGGAAATGATTTTGACATAAATATTTAATTCAGGTCGTCTTTTTATTTACTATTATTTTATATACAGGTAACCCCCGTATAACACGGCACTTCTATAGCACGGATTCACTCTAACACGGTTCGAGAATTGGTACCATCCCCCGTATAACACGGTACTTTTATAGCACGGATTTACTCTGACACGGTTCGAGAATTGGGTAAAACCCTCGTACAACAGGAAACGTAATAAATTTTTACATACTTAAGTAATAATAGTTCACGAAAATTATTATTTTCGTGAACTATTAGTACTTAAGTATGTAAATTTTCTCTTCTCGCCTTCTGTCGATACACGTGGTCCTTCTCGAAACTTGTTTCAATGTTGCCAGATCGCGACGCTTCTGCTTCTGATGTTGCCGAATGTTTTTCCCTTATTCCATACTTGCTTTATTCTTCATAAGTGCTTAGCACCATATAAGGAAATTTATAAAGACCTTTTAACTAGAAGCAAGCAATCTAAAATTACATACATTTTGCAAAAGGTAAAGCATGGATCTGAAGATAATGCAGAAAAATGCTCAGAGGATAAGGATAACTTGCCAAAAAGAAAACGCTCTCGGTTAATTAATAGTGTTTTTAGTGATGACGAAGAAAACATTGTTTAATTTATATTAATATGTATCACTTAAAAAATTTTTAATGAAGATATTTATCTTAATTATAAAAATATACTAGCATGTTTTTTAATTTTTGGAACCTAACTCTCCTTTTCGTATTAGTTCTTTGTTTCGTATAACACGGATTCGCATAACACGGCAATTTTTGGAACGTAACTACCGTGTTTTACGGGGGTTACCTATACTGTATTCAAAAGAAAAATTGGAAATAAATGTTCATTTCATAATGAAAAATAAAAGTTATACAAAAATGTAATCTTTATCTTTTTAAAAATTTATAAAGAAATATAAGTTTTATCTTATTTTTTAACAAACAATTTTCTTAAACATATAGACTTTTTTTAATATTTTGTTTATCACTTCTATGGGATTACCATAATGTCAATACTACTACAGTGTTCACGGCATTTTTACTTATTCATATAAATAATTTTGTAGCATTAATTTGTTCCAAAATTTTGATATTTTTAGGAAATTGTTTTCTCTTCCTCCTCTGATGCCTATATTGGAATATGGCGAAAATTTCAAACCGTTTTAGTAAGTCCAAAAGAGTTTAGTCTAGGTTGATGACTAGTCGTCCGCAGCACTGCCACAACTACTTCAGGAGTCTTGGAAATTATCCATCGTTTCTTAGGGTATCACGAAGAGATAGATAGTGGGGAAGTTTAATTGAATTTCAAATATTTCGTCTAATCTCCCTCACCTGAGAATTGTCTGAGTTTTTGTCGAGTATCTCTAATACATTTCATTGAATTCAAAGTTCTGTCTTACGTAAGTACTTTAGAAAGATGAAATATCTGTTAGCTTTAATTTTTTGGATTATTTTATTAAATCAATGATACTACTCATACTCTCGTAGTAAGTATACTCCTTTACACAGGAATCGAATTTCGATTGATAATTAAGGAAATTAGCCTACTACAAATAGAATAATCTTTTTGAGACAGTTTAAATGAAAAATTGATAGTTTCTTTTAAGATATGTCGATTGATAAGCACGATTTAACATTTTTCTAAAACATCACTTAGATATATCGCTAGAATGTTTCACAGGCAAGCTTAAATCTTAGACACACTATAGTTGTGTCTATTAGGGATTGTATACCGGTTAACCGATAAATTGACAAAAAAACATTCGGTAAACTTACCGGTAAATTTTTGAAATTTACCGGTAATTCGGTAAATGAAAAATCCATACGGGGGCGCGTCCCCCTATCCTTTTTCGGAAATGTTAATTATCTTAGAATTTCTTAAATGTTATCAAATCAAAGTCATGCGATATGAGTTGTTATATTTAAGTAACAAAACCGATTGATTTGGATCAAGAGAATGCTGCATCACCATAAGCACTCCCCTCTGCATACACCCGACCACGCTCGTATATTGTTTCATAGTTTCTCCAGTTACGTTTATATCGCACGCACTCGTGTATTTGATATCGGTGTGGATTCTAAACGAAGTTCGCGCAGTTTTAATCAATGCTTTTTTAATTCTTACAAATTAACAGTCGACTAAACAAAGACTCCAATGCAAATATCAAAAAAGGCCAAAGAAAGGTAAGATTTTGTTTTTTTTCATTACAGATTGTACGAACTTAATGTCTATTTTATTTTCATAGTTTTAAATCGCAGACACATTTCATGTAATCATTTCCAACATGCAAAAATTATTATTATTTACAGTTTTCCACTTTCGACAATAACTTAAATAATTAAAAGNCGGTAAACCGGTATTTTAATTTTCATTTACCGAATTACCGGTAAATGAAAAGTCGGTAAATTTACAATCCCTAGTGTCTATTGTACCAGAACCCCTTTAGCCGCCACTCGAAATCATGAAGTGGCGTTTCCACTTCCCAGGATGAAAACCGAGGAGTTGAATTTGTTTACAACGATAACGTGTAATATGTAAACGAATGGATGTGACCAACAAATTAGAAAATGTTCAATTCTGAATATTAACGTCGGGGTGTTTGTAAGAATGTGTTGTAATGAAACTGAAGAAATCAGAATCTTCGCCGTGTTCGAGATGGTAACATCTCGGTTGAGATTTAGTCATTGCACTCGGACCGGGCCAAGACGGAGCGTGTAATCTGTGACACACATTCTGCTAAATATCTAGCAATCGCGTAACTTGGATTTGAATCGCCGTATTCCACGTCGAACGAAAGCGTGCTCCCGGGATTCGACTACTATACGAAATTATACCAACCGAAACTCGGTCTTACGAAATTCCAAATGATTATTTAGCGAATATTTCAGAACTAAGCTTATAATACAAAGTATCGCTTCTTTAATAATAATTATCAAATACGTAATTTCAGCTATTGTTAATTGCAGTGTTATTTTCTTTTTTGTTTCAAAATTACTGAAATTTATACAGAATTTAAATAATTCAATATTTAAGTTTTTATCTCTTTGTACCCGTACAATAGCAAATATCAGATGAAATAATATAGAGAAAAATTCTTCTGAAAAGAACAATAAAAATATCTCCCATTCAACCATATCCGTAAAGTCAAAATGAAACGCATTCGGGCTGTGACATTTTTTAATTAAATTTTCTTTCGTTTAAATAAAAAATAAATTTTATATTTATTAATTTTTTAAAATAAATGAATTCTAACAAAATACAAATACATTTTAAATACTGTAGAAAATGCAACAATTTAATTTATTAAATATGTATCAATAGTTTTCTTTGTAGTATCTGTGTTTAGTAGTTAAATTATTTTGACCCAATTGAATTTGATTATTATTGATTCATTCCTTTCTTATCCCCGCTCTAAATAAGTATTCTATTTTTCTGAATGAGCCAGATTCTGAACAAGGAGCTGAAGTAGCTAGATCGCACACTTCTTAGTTGGAATAACTTTTCTGGAAAGGTGAAATTGAAGTGCAAAAGCTGTAGAATAAAGATATGTAATGTTCAATTTTATTGCCCCCTTTCTCCTCTTAATTAATATTTGTTAAAAATTAATTTTTTAATACAAATAGTATTTTTAATATTTAACTTACATTAATATGTATTTGGGTAAATGCCTGGAGCTCCTTTCAGAGTTCAGAGTAAGGTAACCCCTTATGAGCGCCTCTGCCCCCATAAAATGACAGTGTTTAATTTTGCCGGAGTCGGAGTCGAGTTTTTTTACCGACTTCACAGTCCTCAACACATCTTTATATCTTTTTCTGACTTTGGAAATGTTCATTTTTAGATACCTGAAGGGAATTTTACGTGTTATGATTGATACGTTTCTAGTACCTGCGGATTAGACGGCCGAGCGGTCAAGGTGGCAGCCTACCGCTCTGGGGGGACCCAGCATCGAATCCGGACGGGTCAAAGAATCCCCAAGAATTTTTCGGGGATTCTTCGGGGGTGGGCGGTTCGGATATGTCGGGCCCGTCCCTCACCATCTGGTCGCCCCATAATGGGCCTGCTTTAAAAGGCCCTCTTAACTTTTCCGCCCTGTGGATACTTTTTTTTTTAAAAGTATTTGTGGACTGAATTTTAGATAATTGCCAACTCGTGTAGAAAGTGGAAAATAAACATTTACAGTAAACAGGAAAATTTTCATTTTATCTAATGACTACTAATGTAAGCAGCAAAATATTTCTATTAATTATAATATTATTAATATTAATATTATTAATTATAATTATTATATTAAAATATTTCTATAAAATATTAAAATTCTATTACTGTAATAAATTAATACTACTAATTAAAAGCTGATTACCTCAGGCCGGCAGATTTCTGCTCAATCTTTGGTCGCTTGGAGTGTTACTAGTTGAAAAACGTATAAAATTTTTGTAGTATATTTTAAACAATCGGTTAGTGAAAAGAAGGTAGAGATATGAAACAATACTTATAATGATATGTTCATCAATAATTGTGTGTTTATATCATAATTTCGTTTTACGAAAGTGGACAACCCATTAATATTTAACGAAGGAATTACTCGTGATCTATTTTTACTTGTATTTTTGAATTCCGAAAAGATCGTAAGCAACTGGAAACAATTTTCGGTCCATGAGTATATACTAAAAACGGTCCTGTGTACGATATA